CAATTACCCTGCTCAGCGCTCTAGCCAGTGCTTTACCACCGTGTTTTAATAGCTCACTTGGTAGTTGATCTACACCAGTTGCTTTGTTGTTCTTCAGCCAACCGATCTCTTCCTCAACTTCTTGAAGATCAGGGGCCGGTAGCCTGTCGTCTTCTGCGCGTGCTCCAAGGTCTGTTGCCGTACCACCGTTGAGGTGCTCGTCTAGATAGTACTGCTTCCACCTCTCAATCACCTCACACTCGTTCGTGAGAAGGTTACCATCCAAGTCCTTGTTCATATCGGCTTGCGGCACGTAGCCTTTGTGCGAACTATTTAGGCTTCTCGTAGAACTTCTGTGTGTCGTTTACGCGGTACAGACTTTCCATCGCCTCGCGATCTTGGTCTTTCTGCTCATCCTTCGACAAGTCACGAATGACCTAAAATGTGCTGAAGTGACTATTATAAAGTGATCTTCCAAAACTTTAACGAGGCTTTGTCTGTGAATTCTGAGAAAATTCTATTGGAAATGTAGAGGTATTTCCTTTAAAAATTTGCAGATAATTCCACCATGAATTCTGAGTTAATTCTTTCGGGAATTCTGGGATAATTTGTTTGGAAATTCTAAATAAATTCCTGTGGTAAAACGATGAATCTTCTAAATATTTTGAGAGAAACTTTCTAGGAATTCAAAGAGAAGTAAAAGACACCCAGGCATTAGCCTGAGTGACTACAACAAGCAATTCAGAGTTTGTTTTTACATAAAATTGGACAAAGTAGTTCCACGGAATGGCTTGAATGTCTCCAGGAAATGGAAATGAATTTCTTCGTGAATTCTGAAAGAAGTGCATCAAATCTTAAGTGAGAAATTCATCGAATAATACGGAAGACTATCTTTGACAATTTTGAGAGAATGCTTCCGGGAGTTCAAATACAAAAGCCAACCAGGTGACAAACATCAAACAACATTTTGATCTCATCAGCAAAAATCACATCCGGGAAACAGCGACGATGACGGCGCACGACCCTTGGATGAACATCGGATGATATGGTGATGCTACCCAAGTAACATTGCAAGTTTTATCAAGGTTTTAAAGCGTTCTTCAAGTCTAGTTCATGGTCTACAGAACCCTCATAAAACTAAAATTGTTACTTGGGTAGGGTAGATTTTAAGTATCGATCAATATAGAAGTCTTTATCGTGCAGTGTAACTGTTCAGATCTTTTTTAAAAACTCGTTTTCGAATACCCAAAACTAAAAAAATATAGCGTAAATTCTCCATAAGAAATTCTGCAAGAAGACTTATGGAAATTCTGCAAGAATTCGTCTGGAAACTCTGCAAGGATTCGTAGAAGAATTTTAGGAGCATACTTGCATTTTCTTTTATGAGAGTTCTTCCAATAGTTTTGAGAGATACCTTCGAGAATTCTGGGCGAATTCCTCTTGGAGTTCTGAGAGATTATCTCCATAAATTTAAAGAGAGATCCATCGGGAAATTAATGTGAATTTCTTCACAAATTAAGAGAGAATTCTTCCAGAAATTAAAAACTACTTCCTGTGAAAATTCTGATAAATGTCCATCAGGAATTCATTGATTTCGGGAAATTGGACAATTCATTCGAAGAAATGGATGGACTTCCTCCGGAAGTTTGAGCGAATTACATCCGGTAATTCCAACAGAAATTATGTTTACCTTTCAGCCATTGAAATGTTCGTCTCTTCAAAATAGGAACAGGGCTTGATGTGAGGGGCTCACCTCAGGAATATTTAAATACTTGGTTTTTCAACATTCTACAGAGTTGGTTTGTAACAGAGTTGGCCCTTCTTGAAGACGGGATACTCATTGCTTCTTCTGTAAAGAAAAACCTCTAAGAGTTCGTAGAGAATGCCTCCTGAAAATCAAAGTGAATTTCCTGGTTAATTTTGAGGCAATTCGAACAGGATTTGAGGAAGAATTTCTCCGTAAAATCCGGAGAGAAATCCAACAGCATAATACCATAAAGGTAACTCTAAGACCAGAAGGTCCCGAAGAAACGAGCTCAACTTTTTGGCTCAGCTCTGGTACTATAATTGGTCCCAAGCTAATCGATTCACCCCTCGGAACATTGGAAAATCCACTAACCCCTCATTTTATCTGTCAAACTTTCATAGCGAATCAAAACAAACATAGTTTAGTTCTAGAATTTCAACTAGAATGGGGTACGTTAATCGATTTGCTTGGGACCAATAAGCTAGTCAAGTAGTGAGCCAATTTCAAATCCATAGTCTCGTATAGTGGTAGGGCGCCCGTCTAGAGTACTGACAGGTGTGGTTTCGATTCTGTAGGCAGTGGATTTTTATTTAACCATTTTTGCAACAAAGATCACCACCCAAATACATGTTCATTGCTCTAGTATCATTTTGTTTGACTCAACATTAGTTATTAACCATTGCAATTTATAAAGAACTATTAGGGAAATTCAGGCAAAAATTAAGATTGATTTCGTTCACGAGTTCTGAAAGAATTTCTCCTCAAGAGGGATCTTCCGAATTTAAATAGAGAATTCTAGAATTATTTCCAAGGAGATTTCCTTTCGGGATTTTGTGATTTAGTATTTTTGAGAGAACTCCTTTACCCTACCTATTGGCTTAGAAGTATCGACAAATTCTTGTTTGAATCTTTGTTTGCAATAGCTGATCCATGTATTTGTAAATTCAATCATGAATTCCTCTTAAAAATCTGAGAGAAATCGTTTGTGAACTCAATACTTCCATGAAATCATAGTTGGTTCTGGTGGACAGTCGGACGAAATTCTTCAGGAAAAACTGCGACAATTCCTCCTCAAAATGGGACGGCATTACTTACTGAATTGTTTATTAATTTATCTATTTGATAAGGCTCAATCCAATTAACTTTACAGAGCCGAGGATAAACACTTCATCTTCCGCTGTCTAATAAGCATCCTCCATCAGAACGGGATCCACTTCCAGTGGTTTCATTGTATGCCAGTATCGCCAACGGGAGGCAGAACGCTTTCATTGCAGCAATGGACGCAAAATGTGGTCAGCACTCACACACTCATCACGAAACGGTTGCTTTCCACAGTCGACGACGCATCTACTGAAAGAACTGCTGATGAAGATCAATGATGAGGACCATGCAATGGTTGCTGCTAAGTAAACAGACAATCGCGTGACACACATCAAGAGTGGTCGACAGCTTGACTGACTTAGGGAATTGTGGAAGGATTTCTTTAGGATTTTTTGAAGCATTCTAGGAATTTCGAGCGACATCTTCAAAGGTTATAAACAGAATTCCTCGCACAGGATTCCTCAAGGAATGAGAGTTTCACCAGAAAATAAGACATACATTCAGGAATTTTCAATGATTTGCATAGGGAATAGTGTTAGGATTCCTCCAGAAATACTAAGAGAATCGCTCCTCAAATTCTAAGAGTTTGGTGTGCAGTTGAACAGAATATCTTGGAATACAGCGGGAGTTCCTCCGAAAAATGGGCCGAAATTCTCCTACGAAATCTGAAAAAAAAATACTTCGAGAATATTGAGAGCAATCCTCCCGAAATTCTGAGAGACAGCTTACGGCAAATTTCTATAAGAATTCCTCTAGCCATTTTTTTTTTAAGAATATCGCCGAAATATGCTCAGCGAACTTCATCTGGGAGTTACTAGAGCATTTTTCTGGGAATTTTGCGCGAATTCTTTAAAAAAAATTTGAGAGAACCCCTCGAAATGTTCCTAAAAGGCTTATTCTAAAAAAATCGAAGTTATTTCCCCATGAGATTTTCAGAGAATGTCTAAATGAATTCAGAAGAGAGACAATTTCTCCGGTAATTCGGAGAAAAATCTTTCAGAATTTAATAGACGATATTTTTAGAAATTTCAAGATAACTACTATGAGGATTCATTTGGGAGAGCATTTCTCCAGAAATCCAGAGAACTCTCCAGGAATTTTGAGGGAATCGCCACAGAAATTCAAAGATAATTCCACCAAGAAATCAAATAGTATTTGTCTGCAAATTTTGAGAGAAATTCTCCAGGAATTCATATAGAACACCTCCAGAATTTCAGAGTAGAGCAGTTCCACGCCAACTAACGAAACAATTTTATTTTTTCCTTATTTCAATTCCATGAAACATGATCGCTAGAAGCAATGAACGAAGTTTGGGCTGGAATTTGATAATTTTGACTCACGCCTGATTTTCAAAATTGTGCTTTCGATATTTATCAATAAATCATAGAATGAAAACAATTCATATAATTGAAATTACGTTTGTGACAAAGTGGTGAAAAACTTAACATTCTTAGCTAGGGGATGAGTACTTAAGGGGGTTAGATTTTGGTTAGTCTTTAGTGGCAATGACCCTGATGAAGACTGTATATTGTAGTCGAAATACGTATCGGTCATAGATACCAAAATTAATTAAGTGGAATTAAATGGAAGATAACCTTTGTAGCTGTTTTATGGTTTGAATAGTTTTTAGAGATAATTGCGAACATACTTCTTCCATAATACCACTGCCAGCCAGTGGGGGTTAGATTAAATTAAAATACACGCATATTTTGTTTCGGGAAAAAATATCTTATTATATTATCAATATACTTTCACAAAATAATATTTGATATAGTTTTGATAATATTTTAGTATCTCTACATGCTTTCTGAATCAGCTTTGTTTACCTGCTGATCGTCAATTCCAATTCATGACTGACCGTATTTTGAGTCAATCTTAGCACGGATTTCAGGTTCTTCTGTTAATTTAGTATACATCAATAAATAGGCAGTAACTTGATTGTGCCTGAAATAAGTTGCTTAAAAGTTGTTGCAACCGTTCTGTGACCAGGTTACCAATTCAGAATAATGTTAGTTTCCATCTATGATATATAGCGGTAAAATGAAGATTTTCATATCAATTACAAAAGATTATCAATTACTTAGGTGTACCGATTTCGGTCCCGCATGACGGTATAATTTCCACGTTCCAAATTAACTAACAACGATTTCCAATACTTCCCCTCTATTTCCAGTCAAATTCCTCCGTGAAGTGACACCATACTTCCGGAAAGCGAGCATCATCTCCGAGGTGGGCTGGGAGCTGCAGCGCGCCTTCCTGTGTCCACTCGGTCCCGGAGCATCTTCCCCGCCAGCCGCAGCCCCTCGAAGCCCTCCCCGCGCCGACACCCGCTACATCCCCCTGCAGTTGACCCATCTGGCACGGAATCTGAAATACCACGACGCCGGTAAGTGTTAACAGCCTTTTTTTTTCGATTTTCCCAGCACCATAAACAGCCCCGGGGAAGGTATCTCACCATTAAATATGTGTACAAATCAATCCCATTCCGAATCGCTGAGCCGTCCATTATGTTTCGACAACTTTTATGTTTGCGATGAAATCTTTCGAAGCAACTGAGAAACCAATTTCCACAGAACCTTCTGGTACCAAATCCGCTTTGAGCCCTGAGGATATTAATCATTTCTGTCCGTTCTACGACCACTTTTCACAACAAGAAAGGAAAGTAATCCAATGATCCGTGCTTGACGCGTGGCCAACCGAGTATTGGAGGATCTCACCCTTCCCTCCATCCGCCGTTCAACCAACAATTCCAATCAATCAACCCGAAGCTTAATCACGTTGTCAAACATTGCATTGTCATCATTGTCAAAATTGATATCTCCCACGCCCCCGCACTGCTCCTCAAATGATCCTCCGCAGCCTCCTCCGTACCATCGTTCTAGTGAGCTTCAATGAGCTGACGAGGCTCGAAATAAAAATGGGAAAAAGCCGGCTATCAACAGGAAGCAAATTTAATCAGGCTCCTTCAATTTTCCCGTGTGCCCGTTTCGATTTTTCGCGTTCATCAAATTGTATAGAGTTGGTGGCGGTTTCATTTTTGCTCTCGCTTCGGAGAAATCATTTTCCATGGATGTTGCGACGTTCATCTACCGTGTCTGCCGGGACAAATTTGGGATCCAATCAACCAAATGTATGGGTGGTACCTACATGTATCAGTAAGCAATGTTCAGTACCGGTTGATGGCTCAGTAGGTGGAAGGTCAGAATTTTCCTCCGTTCGGGTTTCTTCGTACGCTGCCAGAAGATATTTTTTATTATTGTGCTACTGAGGGCGCTGGAAAGTGATCTGAATTTCACGATTAATTTCTTTGAGCACCAGTGGTTCTCAACTATTGGTACATTACAATGCATTTTTTTTTTTTAATTTTGTTAGCACGCGTCCCATAAATATTTTTATTTTTTATATGTTTAGTTATTTTAAAACTCTTTTGTAATTCGTGACTAATTTTGGAGATAAGAACTTGTGGCTTTGGCGTGAGAGGTATGGATGTAAAATTATATCTTAGCTACGCCAAAATAGCATTTGAATAACAAATGGCCAGAATTACAGCACCGAAACTCATAGATGATGATTTCTCAAGGTGTCAATCGGAACACCTAAACCTGTGAGTCCCCAGCTAGTTACGGGCACCAGGTCAAACCAAGCCAAGCTGGTTGCTCACTGATTTTTGATATATTGACCCCCGTTAAGGAGCGCCCACAATTCTAATTTCAGAATGTACACACAATTTACTACTCTCTAATTAAAACTAGGAGTAAACTGATCCGCTATCAGCTTGCCCTAAACATTAAAACACAAAATTTTTCGGCTATTGGCTTTTTAGGTTAACGGTGGATCAATTAGCTACGTTTTTTATGTTTACATGGGATTTGAAGTTATACCGTCTGTTCGAAACGAGAACTGAATAAACTCGCAGACACTCGCGGGAAAATCGCGACACCGCCGACACGGTAATCTTGTGGGCACCAAGAGAAGGCAAACGGACCGAGTCTTTCTTCCACCGAATAAAAGTCTTCAACACTTCGTATTTAGAACGATATTGTACGACCGATAGCAACGTGTTTACGTCCAGATCTGTGACTGGGTGGAGATCAACTGTCTTCTCTATGTATCCCGATCTCGGCTACTGCCGTCTGCTACACTCTCGATGACTACTTACTATCCAGAGAGCCAAAGAAGCTGGTGCTGGTCTGCTATCACAGAATAGGCTATTGTGATAATCCCGGGTCAGTTTGAGTATTTGAGACACTTGTAAAAGGCCGACATCGATTTACAGGCTTTTAATAATACGAAAAGGATTTTTATACAAATACTTTTAAGTGCATGTATCTAAATAGTGGTAAGTTTACTTTTAAGCAATGGTATTTATACAAATTTAGAATTAAGATTTTGAACTAAACAAACTAACTAACACCGTCCCTTACTAGTCCTGACGAAGAACTCTCAAATGGATACAATGGTTGATTATGACAATAGCTTTTTATACAACAAGTTGCAGAAGGAAGATTTTTTCTGCACGAGTCGTAGCATATCCAACGTGGCTTGCCGAACAAAAGGTAATTTGTCCTTCACGATTTGTACACTTTATCGAAGGTTTGTGTGCTTCTCTGAAGTAATTGGAACTGCCCTAAAGATCTTCGAGAGAAGTTCCAACTATTTTTCTGACACTGATTAATATACTAGGAAGACCTTTGATCTGTCTCCTACAACTGTTCTGAAAAAATCGATTCACAGGGAATTTCATTTTAAATTTGTCGAATCTCTTAACGGAATCCCCTCGAACCTCTTAACGGAATCTCTTTATGAAGAGCTTTGAGTGGTGTTGAGAACTTGGCTCTGATGAAATCTACAAGTAGTAGACGAAATGCGCGTATCTGTCAAAATATAAGCAATTATAACGGAATTTAAAGGAAATAAACAAACATATTCAAAACTCTTCATTTATTTATAAATTTAGTATTCATCTTTCATTATTCTGTTGTCTTCATTTTAAATCTTCCCCTTCATTTTCAAGATTTTATCTGAACTTCTCCAACATTCCAACAACTTTACTTATATCCATGGAACTTTCTTGAAAACCCCGCAAGTTTTCAGAATTTTTTGGAAAACTCTTGTAATTCCTGAAATATTTCATAAGTCCCCGGTGCTTTTTGAATGTTTCCGCAATTGATTGATGAAACTGATTTGATGTTCTCTGATATTTTTGGAAGTACCCCGAATTTAAAAAAAAAACTTCTTAGTAATCATTAAACTTATCTGAAATAACCTGCCCTGAAAATCACTCAGATCTGAGTTTTTTTTTTAACTTCAGTCAAATTCCTGCAGTTTTCTGACTGTCCATGATTGTTTTGAAGGTTTCGCATTTTTCTAAATGTTATTTGTACTTCCTTAAAAATATTGCTCAAATTTCATCAAATCTTGGACTCAGATTGAGAATACTATACAAAACAACTTTGCCAAAGAAAAAGTTATTATTATATTAATTTAGACCTTTTGCTCCGCGCCAGTGCTGATAAAAATCATTTCTTCTACACCCAAATACGCTGAAAATGAAGGCAACCTTGAAAGATAAACCGACTACCTGCATGAATTTGAATTTTGACATGGTAACATGCTCTTGATCAAGGCAACCGCTGAGTTTTTAAGTCAACAATTGTTTTTGTTCATTCAAAGATGCGTATTCATTATCACCTGTTCTGTTGTCATATCAATATTCATAATGATCTTGGTGGGGATGATTTTGAGTATCAAATGCGAAATGATTATTTTCGTTTTACACACATATACCGTTGTGGAACGTGCTATGTTGCTTTTTCACTCGGATCGATGGAAGATTATTGCCTTTTGCAGAATTGATGATAATATCGAGGTTTTAGGCTCTGCAATCGTTCATATTCAAAATAATCATTTGCGGCAAAATTAATTTGATTTTTTGCTTTTGAGGATCGTTTCCGATTTTGACAATTTTGAGTTGGAAAGCTCCGCGCATAACAACAGATATACATATGAGCTTTTTGATACGTGTGGAACACTATTGGTCTAAAATGAAAGTTTTGTGGTTTTTTGTTCAAAGATCATATGGGTTTGAAGTCTTCGAAAGTTGTTTTGAATTGTATTCTCAATTCAAGTCCAAGATTTGGTGAAATTTGAGCAATATTTGGAATTTTGGTAAGCAAATTAATAGGATCGTTCCGTTTCCCATACAATTTTCTCATACAACATAATCATAACCGAATTTGTTCAAATTTTGCACAATTGGGAGCCTCAATACGTGATGAAAGAGCAAGTTGGAACAGGAGTTGTAAAACTTTATCCACCCTAATGTACAAACTTGGAAAAATGTAAAAGAACATTGTGGTAATGGCTGAATTCACGCGCCGCTAACACGCCTCTAGTGTTGGGAATCGAAAATCTTTGACAGTGGTTTGTTTATACTTCTATAGAGAACAACTTGTGCAAGTTTGATCTTAGTAGTCGATCGTGTTCTGAAATAACGTCAAATGGAACTCGAAAGAAGAAGAAATATTGTGCACAAACACCTGGAAAATCCGGAGTGGTCCGGTTCCAACCTGGCTAAGTGCTGAAGATACCGAAAACAAGAATTTGTTGAGTGCTCAAAACCTACAAGGAAACCCTGAGTGTGGATAGGAATCAGCGGACCTACGAAAAAACTGGAACCAGGGATCGTCAGCTGAGCAGCATTGTGTTGAGTTGTGTTAAAGCCAACCCCGGTTTTTCGATCCAAGATGTGACCAGAAGGTACAACGCCAACTTTCAAACGGTACATCCTTGCCAGGGAAGGATACAAGTCGTTCAAAGACAGTAAACAACCGGCACATGAAGCAGAATTCCGTGGCGTGACGAAACGCAAGGGCTGCACTTTAATTGATGACGAGACATACGTCAAACTCGATTTTAAGCAGCTTCTCGGTCAAAAGTTTTACATCGCGACTGAACGTGGGGATGTCTTCTTTTTCTTATTCGCATATCAAGCTTATTGCGTCCTCTCAACTTAGTGTTCTAAATGCACTTGCACAGTTATTAATTGAGAGCTTTCGATGCCAATAACGAATGCATGAATTTGTATATTGTGTGGCAAGCACAATGATACTCTATGCCCAGGGAAGTCGAAAAAATTTCCAACCCGAAAGATTCCCTCGACTGGACCGGGAATCGAACCCGCCGCCTCCGCATAGCATAGGGGCAAAGTCATCTTTTGGCCCGATTTGGCCAGCTGACACTACTCCAAGAAGGCTCTGGAGTGGTATGCTGCTAACAAGATCGATTTTGTCCCCAAGCTAATGAATCCTCCGAATTGCCAGGAATTTCGACCAATCGAAAATACTGGGCAATTTCAAAGCAGTGACTTCTATGAAGCGACCGTAC